TCCCATCGCGTTGATTCCAACTCATAGTGACCCGATAGGACAGGGTAGAACTGCCCTGTGGTTTCTGGGAGCAGAAAGTCTCCACGGGTGGTGCCACACTGCTGATCTTGTGGTGAGCAGCTCAATGCGTCACCACTACGCCACGGGGTCTCACTTCCCCAATCAATTCAGGGCAGGCAACACTTTTGTTTGTGTTTTGAGATCTCCAAGGCCTCCTCCATAAGCGAATCAGATGTTCCAGGGGAAAAACACATCTCCTTTTACGTGGGTGTGCAGCGCGGCCCCTGAGAATGACCAGCTTTATGGGGACCCAACATTAACACACACGAGACGGTCAACAGACACCTCGAGACAATATGTCATCTAGTGCCCCAAATTCACGCGTTAAGGAAACTAGCATTGCAGCCATGTTAAAGAGCACACCTGAACCAATTCTTAAAATTTCCTTGTCAATGTACTCTTTCTGTTCAAAGAACTGAAGCGCCCTGAAAACTCTCCTGCCAAGTGATTTCGGTGAGAAGACCCCAGTGTCCTTGGGACCTTGTTGTTGGACATTTGCCTCTTCGGTTTGTCTGATCTTGAGCAGGTGCCTTTTCCTGGGTCTGGACAGTTGGGAGTTGTACTTGCTCTCTCGGGTCCTCCTGACTCCTGACAGTCGAAAATTCATAAAGCCTGGAAGTCAGACGACCCAGGGTTCTGCTTGGATGCAGGGGCGTTCGCTCTGTCCTGGTCTTTGGTGCGATAGAGACGCGTGCCCAGGAGCAGTGGTGGGTGGGGAGATGCCTTCTTGGGTCCTGGTTCTGCTGTTCCTAGAAGGAGGCTGAGGGTCCAACCCCTGTTCTTTCCAGGTGAGACCGACGGTCGTGGGTGCCTCCCACCCCCTACAGCACCCCAAGCCAAACCAGCTGCCTTCCGGTTCATCTGACTCAAGCTGGTCGCATGTGGGCAGTGTAGAGCTGTCCGGTAGAATTTTCACGGCGGTGACCTTGGGTGGCATGGTGTTCGCCCACTGAGCGGTTAACGACAAGGTCAGCAGTGGGAAGGCACCAGCCACACTGGTGAGAGTGACCGGCTTTCTCTTCCCGTGAAGAGCTACGGTCTCGGAAAGGGGCGCTTCTCCCCTGTAGGATCACTGAGTTGGTCTCGACTCGATGGCCTGGAACATATACTTTTTTGGTTAAGACCCAGTGATTCTCAACCTTTCGAATGCTGCGACCCTTTCCTACAGTTCCTCAGGTTGTGGTGACCCCCAGCCAGAACATTATCTTCATTGCTACTTCATCACCGTCATGTTGCTACTGTTACAAATCAGGCGACTCCTGTGAAAGATGTTCGACCCACAGGTGGAGAACCGCTGGTTTAGACCTTTCTGGAGCAGATGGCCATGCTGCGCTTCCAAGGTGCCTCTGGCGGGGGCACCTTGGGGGGTGGGGGTGCCTTTCCGTGAGCAGTGTAGCTCCCCAGGGGCTCCGTCAGAGATGGCGGAGGGCGTGCTCTCGTTGGCTGCACCCGGCCCCACCAAAGAAACTCTTCATCGGCTGACACAACAGTGTCATATTAGACTTTCTGGTTCTTTGGGGACTAGTCCTTGATTTGCCAAGGGCCACTGTTAAGGGAAGGGGTTTGTAAAATGTCTCTTTCTTGCGCCTCCCTTCCTCCTTTCAGAAGGCTCCAGCGTGCCCCAACCCGGCTCCCCGCAGACAGACAGAGCCCACTGCAGGCCTGGGTGGAGCTCTCCTGGCCGCTGGGGCTGGCTCTGCCCACCAGAGGGCACTCTCGGAACGAGGGACGCAGCCGGTCCCCTGGCGTCGGGGAAACCTGGGACCCATCTTTGCCAGAACATCTGGACTTGCTGAAGCCAGGCTGCATTGAGCTATTCTCTACGTAAGTGAGTCTCCGTCTGGGTTGCTTTTTGCCCTCTAAGGGGCCTTTTGGCAGTGTCTGGAGATATTTCTGCTTGTCACAACTGAATGGAAGAGCATAAAGCCTGGAAGTCAGACTGGGTACTGGTAGCCAGAGGGACCACTACACATCCTGCTGTACACAGGACAGCTTCCTGCCGCAAAGGATTACCCAGCCTCAGGTGTCAATAGTGCCAAGGCTGAAAGGTTCTGCTGGACTTGCATCCATTGCCTACTGTAGCGCAGGGTACCGCCAGGAAGTTGAAGTCCCTGAAGTTAGCTTCCCACTCCAAGGGAAGATGACCGAGTAACGGCCTGAAATGTGGAGAACCACTGAGGGGAGTGGGGGCAGCAGGGGTGGGGGCAGAGGGTACCCACTCCAGAGAGAGCCCCTGTCCCAGGGCTGGCCTCTCCGGACAGCACTCTAGCTCTATGACCATGCAAAAAAAGTTCTCCGTGCCAGAGCAGACAACACTTGTTCTTTGTCTCCCAAACTGGGCAGGGAGACGGGAAAGCCCGGGGGAGGGACTGTGGTCCAGGGAGCCAGGGACAAGCAGCTCTCACTGGACCCCTGGCATCTTCTGGGAGAGAGACTCGGGGTCTCCTTTTCTTGGCACCTGGGGGAGTGGAGGCGGGGCAGCCTGAATCAAGAGCACGCATAGACCCTTTCTTCTGGATTCATCCAACTCAGAAAGGTCGGGGCTGGAAGCCTTGCCAATCTCAACCTGCCTGTGGGGTGGGGGCCTAACCTTGCCCCACTCTGGGTCTCTTCCCCATGCCAGTCGGGGGAACGGTCTATCGGCCATGAAGAAGGGCGAAGAGGCTGCTGAAAGCAAAAGGACCCGGGGCCCCTCAGAGACACAGATGTGTACACACACTTACTCTGCCACACGGGGCAGGACAAGTAATGGACAAAGGGACGTTCTGGCCTCCCTCCCCCGACCCACTCTATCTCTTGATGCACAGTCTAGGAAGGACAGGGAGCCTAACTCCCAGACCTAGGATTGGCCACCTAGGACTTCCTTGTTGGTTTCCATCAAGTGGGTATTTCGATTGGTCTTATGGCTCAGTGTCCTCGGCTCCTGTTGGCATTTCCTTGATTGGGCAAAAGACTATCCCTCTCGGTGCCCCACCTCCCCAGTCACCCAGTGCTTCGAGCCTGTTCTCCTTGTCATTCCTAGACCTGGGAGCCGAGGAAGAGGGCCCCTCCTAACACCCTCCTTCCTTACCCCACACCCTGCAATCCTGCCCAGCTGGCCTCTTTGGGCGCCTGAGTGCCAGCCTGCGCACCTCCCGATCTGCTGTGCGCTCCTTCCCTGGGGGCTGGTTCCCCCTCTCAGTCTGGCAGCTCCAGGGTCACTCCCCCAGGCCTCCTCTCTGGGAGCAGGGCAGGAGAAGCAGGGGATCTGGTGCCTTGACTTGTAGCTTGGCTCCACGCCTCAGGCCTCCCTCAGGCCCAGCCGCCTTTCTGTGACAATCTTGGGTTGTGTCTAGCTCCAACTCAGGACAGAGGACAAGAGGAGGCAGCGGGGGCTGGGCCCCCTAGAGGCAGGCCATCCGCAGAAGAAGGCAGAAGGCAGTTTCCCAAGAGGGCAGGCAGTGGAGGAGGACAACCAGAGAGAAGGCCCGACTGCCTGCCAGCCCCCGACTGAGAGAAATGGGGATGGGAAGTTGAAGTGCTTGCACGGGTGGGGAGCTCCCTGGGTCACAGGAATCAGAGGGGATGGAGAAGCACCCAGGGGGAGCCAGGAGAGCGGTGACTCTAGCCCAGAGGAGGGTGGGCCTCCCAGAGGACAGGGGACTGGAGTTGTCTTGACACTTTCAAAGCAGATGAGCCGCTCCACAGCCTAGACCCTTAATTCCACCCCCCACCCCCCCACCCCCGATTAAATCTGGAATCAAATTTAGACTCATAGCCACCCCCCAGGACAAAGTAGATCGGACAAAGCCCTCTGTGAGCTGCTGAGCCGGTACATCTTTATGGAAGTGGAAAGCCTCCTCTTTCTTTCCAGGAGCGGCAGGCGGTTTCATACTGCCGACCTTGTGGTTAGCAACCAACCGGGGACCCACTGCACCCCAGGAATCATGGAGCAGGTGTGGGAGACTTCGGGTGAAGCAAACCTTACTCTCCTTCCCTAAAAAAAAAAAAAGATTAAATGCATCGTGTCAACCACAACCTCTTCCACCCTGAGACCGGAAGAACTAGATGGTGCCTGGCTACCACTGTCGATGGTGAGGACCAGGGACATGCCGGAAAGTTCCGGTTAGAATGGGAGAAAGAGTGGACCAAAGCTCAAATGCATAAAAAGGCAAGCAAACAAACCCAGCAACTCAGACCGACTTGATGAATAGAGACTAGCAGAACTTCTAAGAACCGTCACCTGAAGATACTCCTCTAATCCGGATCTGAAGCCACTCCTGAGATCACCACCTTTCAGCTACATATTAGGGGAGCACATGAAACAAGCAGTAACACCTGTGGGCAATGTGCTGCTTCCTTGAATTTGTTACCTGTGGGAGACCAGCTGGCCAACATGTACCCAAAGCAAAGGTGAGGCGGCCGGGAGGGGCAGGGCGAGTGGGTGGAGAGGAAGGGGCAGGTGGGTGACGGTGGCGAGAGCGACACCATGCGGGAGCGCGGGGCGTGTAACCGCTGCGTGGGAAATTTGGGAGGGGCGGGGCTGTTGAATGAGAATCTAAGTTGCTGTGCAAACTTTTCCTTAAACCATCATCAATGTGAAAAACAAATAGCATCTTCTTAATCCGATTAGCAACTTTGGGGAGAAGCGGCACCCTGGTTCCAGTTTTCCTAGCCTTCCG